GCTTTGTAGACCATATTTTGCATCCTGCAGAAATGACCACATGCTGTTTCTAAACTTGTTTGTTCACTTTTAAACGAAGTGAAAAAGTTCTTTTGTATACTGCGGATTTGTTTTGGCTTTTAATGGCTCTAATTGAATATTCTGATTTCCCTAACATCTCCTCAAATGCATATGTAAATACATGCACGCATGGATGTATTTGCACGTGTGTGTGAGGGAGAGTATGTAATCACAAGCACTTTTTGAGTGCTGTCTATGAAAAGGGGAAATGCAAATGAAATTATGAAAAGAGTACATTGATAAAGAATGGTAATCTTGTTGCTTGTCTGATGGATAAAATGTTTGGTTTTTCATTGCCGGTTATGAGCATTAAAGCAGTAGGTATTGCTATGAAACTTACGATAGAGGGCTCAAGCCAGGTATCCCGCTTCCAAACGTGGGTGTTTGTCATGGTTGCAGCTTGTTATATAATCACTCAAATAAACTACTTAAAACAAGGTTACTACTTTCTCTCTTTATGATATTCTGTTTCATTCTTTTTAGTCATTAACTATTGTTTCTATATATAATTTAATTTAAATGTTTTAGTCCTTAAATGTGCTTTCACGTCTTGCTTTAGACTTTTCAACATCTAGTTGTTTCACCTCTTCCTTTTTTCTTTATTTTTTGATACTTAAACAATTTAAAGTAAATGAACTAATCAATTGCATCTATCTGTACGGAAAATTGATAATTCTGTTCTTACATTTTAAAATTCAATCCTGATATATGTTGAATACATCATACTATTGGTATTGCTGATGGGTGCAGTTTTTTTCTATTATCATTTTCTTCAGATGTGCTGATATTATGATGCCTTGTTGCAACAACAGATATATGGCTGTTTTCTGAATTCATAGGCAAACATGCTTATAGCACTCAGATTATATTCAGATGCACCATCATATATGAATGGAAAGACGCAGCATCTTTTTCCAGCAAGAGTAGCAAAACTAAATAAGCAATCATCTATGAGCATTACTAATAATTGCTTTGACAATCCCAAGAGTTAGATCCATATCCTTGTCTGTGTTTGACATTTCTATTAAAGTCCAAGCAACATAGTTTTTGCCTCTAGCATTGAGTTCATACTTCGGCTTTTTATGTTCTTTTGCTTGTTTCAACATTCTGAATTGAATTTGAAGTTAATTCAATCATCGTGGCTTTTATTTCTAGGCTTCGGATATATTTAACACTGCTGTAGTTTCTCCAATCTATTATGCCATGTTCACATCACTTACAATTCTTGCCAGTGCCATAATGTTCAAGGCATCTAAGAATGTTTGTGTCTTGCAACAATATTACAATGTTGCTATTTTTGTTAAGCTTTACTTTATACTCCACTACTGCAGATTATATTTTTAATTAATTTCCTACATACCTTAGGATTGTTTAAACCCCTCTAAATAGAGGGTTAACTGTTTGTTTTAAACACTTTGATTATACAAACTATACTTCTTTCTCTGATTTCTCATCTCTCAATTTCTTCTCAGTTTTCATAAATTGCTATTTGTGAATTTCTTTTATGAGCTTCAATTTGATATCCGACCTTACTCTTTCCAGTGACTGAATTGTATATCACACATTAAATTTTACAAGTTCTTGGACGAAAGGGGGCATGAATATTTATTTCTTGGATCAGCCTTACTCTTTCCAGTGTCAGCCCGAGATATTTCTGCTGATCCAAAAAAGTTTATGTTAATCGTGATTGAAAATACCATAAAATGTTGATCTAAGCCTGTAGTTTTCATAGGTTAGCTTCCTTTTATGGGAGATTCTTTCAAGGCTTTAGTTCTATCACCTTCCCCATCCTGAGTGTATGGGAAAAGGTGATGTTCAATTGGACCTCCTCAACAAAAAAGCCTTCTTATCTGTTGAACAAAAATTGAAACGAGGACCTGGTTTTAAGATACTTTCATCTTTCTAAAGATTTTAACGTTGCTTGTCATGCTTCTGGTGTAGGTATATGTAATATCTTAGGTCAAGAATCTAAATGAGGCTCGATAAGAAAAATATTTCACCTATGACAACGAGTTCTATGCTATAGTCCAGTTCATTCATCATTGGCAATATTATTTGTTGCCTAAGGAGTTCATTCTGATAATTAAGCCTCTCTTTATTTCAATTCCTGGTGTAATGTGAGAGAGTAACATATTAAGTCGGTCGAATTCGTACACATTTGTCCTCCAACATGCCAGAGTCGAGAACATTGTTATTGATACTCTTTGTCATCTCATTACTAAACTTCATTCTATAAGTAACTCTGTGTTAAGTATCCGCGGTTAAAGGATGGCTACAGTAGATGTCCTGACTTTGGTATCTTTCAAGATCTTTTAGACGTCACTCATGTAATCATTTGGTTGAGATAAAACTGTGGCCTTAGTAGATGATCGATTTTATTGGCTCTTCCTTAAGAGGATGCCACTCATATTATTTCTTAGTGTCGTACTTGTCAAATAGGAAAGTCACACTATCGGAACACTGGAATGTACATTTTTTGTCTCATTCCTCATCCTCTATGGCGTGACCTTAACATGCATTTTGTTATAGGTTTGCATGGCATGACCTTAACAAGCATTTTGTTATAGGTTTGCTTAAGATCGATAAAATTCATGATTCTATTTTAGTTATGGTGAATAGGTTCTCAAAGATGACACATTTCATTCCATGTTTCAAGTATGATACGTCCTATGTTGCTAAGTTGTTTTTTCAAAGAAGTTGTATATCTACATGGGCTCCTAATAAATATCGTGTATCATCGTGATGTTAAATTTATTGGTTACTTTTGGAAGACACTTTAGATTGTTTAGGATTACGTTGAAATTTTCTTCAACTTTCCTTTCCCCAAA